AGTTCAACTATGTTATTGTTAACATATGGTGCACATACTTCACATCTGCTGCACTCAGCACATTTTCCTAAGCAGTCAGTGAAAAGTTTGGCATACAATATTAAAGATGGTAGTCGTCACGCGGCTCATGTGCGACATTTGTGTTGATAAACAGTGATTTTCCCATAATTCAATGCGCCCTTCTAATTGAAATCACAAGTATGAGGTTTGACCTGGGCGCGACTTGCACTAATTTCTGCCGGTAACTCCTTCAATTCCTTCCAACCACCTGTGAACAGTCAAAGTCGCCATCTTTGTTTATACGAGGCCCATATATCTTGCGCATGCGTGGCGCGACGACTACCGCCCTTTAACTGGGTCACTGCACGACTCAGACGACATGTCAAACTGGTTCTGTGCAAATAAGGTGTTCAGGGCAACTATAGATTAAACCAAACAAACAAATATATGATATATTATCAACATATTGCACAGACATAGAGAGTCATACGAATTAAAATCTCTTCCCTCAAAATCTTGCAAACTAATGTAAATTTCAACAGATCTAATGACCGGAAGAATGCAATTGCTTCACGAACCTCCAGCCGTACTTGTAAATTCAGGAGGTAAGAGCAGGTGAACACATAATTCATGGCAGATTTTAGACACGCGAGTACCAAGTCTTTTGTCAACAGTCGGAGCCGAGCATCCTTCATTTACATTTTCTTTATTGGATGTTTAATAAAAAGGTGCGTTCTAGACAACAGGACAGTGGAACAATCCCATGATGCAACTAATAGACTTGTATACATTCATTTTTACTGCGAACAAAAAAAGAACAACCCAACAAATAGTATGGCAATATAACTCACTGTTTTGCTAACAAAGTAACAATATTTATTTTACCATTAAAAACTGTTACGTATTATCTATCAATATTTCTACGTTGTTTGCAAAACAGTGAGCTTTATTGCAATACTGTTGGTCGGGCTGCTTTTTCGTTCACAGCCTTGTGAGTAACGTAATTATTAGGAGCAAAAACGCCGTTATGGGAACGACTGGTTCTTGACAACCAGTCACTGCGCACTATTGTGATTTGTGTTTATGGGACATTCAGTCCCACTTATGCAATCAGGGTTGTTCGATTGGGTAAAATATTTCACCCTGAGAACATACACTAGGGTCAGGCAGCTTCTCACTATTGATGGCCTTCCACCATGGCCCAGTTTTGTCTTTGCTTAACAAAGTGCATTGTTGCCACTAGTAATTTTTTTCTAAGGGTGGTGCCATGCACAATCACTTTTTTTTCTGCTACTGCATTGTTTTGTTAGTTTTAAGTATTTTGTTTCGTAGTTTTGTTAAATCCAAGTATTTGGTTGCAGTGTTTTGTTAGTTGTAAGCAACTCAACACAGAGGTGTTATGTGCCACAGTGTTTCAGTTTTTTTTTTTAAATCTTTCTTACTTCTGTGTGTGAAGTATAATGTTGATTTGGATATATAACACTATAAATGTCTTGAATCATAGACCCTAGAGTCTATTATGCTTGAATGAATGCAATTTTATCAGGAGTTATAATTACTAGTATGCGATGTAACCACCATGCTACCACTAAACTGTGATTTCTTTGCATGGCTTACAGCTATAGAAAGTGGTACAGATTATATAACAAAATCAAAGTCTTTTATAGAGTTGCGTTTTAATCTACCATAACACAAATCCTGAATAAGGAACAGACAAGTATCTATGGTAACTGTAATTTTTAATCCAAAATTTGACAACATAATTATTGTAAAAACTGAACTGAAATACATAGTGCAGAAATAAGACCAACCAGCCAACCCAGAATATGAATAGTAAGTAAGTACATGGATGCAGATATAGCAAAATATAGCAATAATATAATACATGTATATTATATATATACATTTATATGAATAGAAAGGCCCTGCGGCTTAGTAGAATTGTGCTAGAAGAGAACTTTCATACAAGGCTAGGTGGCCTCAAAATGGAGGATTCAAATGATTAAATGTCATAACTACATCGATTGCCACAAAACAAATTAAAGCCGTTTATCACTGAGATAAAGAATGGTATTACAAAACCTTGTGGATCAGATTCATTAAGGTGATAATCAGTGAACCCATACTTACCTTACACCAATCGATTGAATTGAATTTTTGGGCATGGCTCGACTAGACCCTAAATTTGAAATAAACTTTGCCTTAGAATCACCGCACCGCCGGTATGGCAAAGTAGAGTAAAGCGCCAACATTGACGGGCAGTCTGGACAGGGAATGGGGGGAAAGCATTCATGTCAAAGTTTGCCTACAATATTACATTGCGTTCTTCTCATACGTGTTTGGAACCAGGTTATGTCACATAATAGAGTATGTGGTCGAGGCAAACAGATCTAACATTGGCTCCCCCATAAGGTAAATAAGCTGTTTGCCAATCCTTGGGAGACTTGGAGACCAATTGTTGTTCAAGAACAGGCGTTTCCTTGATGTTAAATTGACCAGACTGTTACCCCTGCCAGGTAACTTTATCCTCTTCTTGCCTCAACAGAGCAACATCTCCTCCACCAGCTGGCTCAGTGATGGAGATCGCATCCCTTCTGGTTTGTGAGGTATTCCATTTGCCCACATACGAAGGGCGTTCCAACTTTTTGCTGGCCCCATAGTACTAGCACCTGAATTGAACATACTTAG